TGAAAGACTGTTTCCCCTGTGTGTGCTGTAAGGAAGCTGCATTATTGCGCTCCCTGCTTTGTAATTGTTTTTCTGCAACCTTAAAATACTCTACTGACAGCTTTACTGAGGTTTACACTGGTTTACAACACTGATTTCTTAAGTCATTGTCGGATAATGAAGACATATATACCCCTTGTATAACTTTATCTCTGTGTGTTCATTGTGAGCTATTTTAATAGCCCAAAAATGCTGCATATCTGTTAACTGATGAATTACTGTAAGCACCAAATGTGAGCACACTGGGAATCTAACACTGCATGGGTGCCACCAGGGTACAATACATGAGTCCTATTTGTTATCTCAAGAATGACAGTATTCCACTGAAATAGTAAAACAAAAATGCGGGAGTTACTGAAAAAAACATCCCGATTCCTGGACCATATTTTTTTTTTTTTCTTTTCATCAAATATAATCTAGTAGCTGATTGTCAAAATAATTAAGAAATTCAGACATTAATCTTATTAGAACATATTAGCAATAACTTTGAACAGCTATCAGTGAGGCTAGCTTCTCTCCAGAGATCACTGGCTGTCTTCTAGCAGTCTAAAGTCATTGATTCTTCTTGATTTCACCCTGGAAACACGTATGAATGTAATACAATGGGGCACTCTAGACTCATGCTGCTAATACCACTAAGCCACATAGATAACAGGAGCTTGGCTTTCAGAGCACCAGCCACAGGCCTGGTAATCCCCATGGCTGGTATTTCTAGTGTTCAATGCAGTCACAAGATTAAAAGCTCTAATTTTTTCCTTGAGCATAACACTAAAAATGGTGAAAAGAAAGCTGTGCAATTCATTTATCTCTCCCTTTACTGAGGTCTATGAGACTGTCATACAAACCATTGTAAAATTTAATTAGATAAACATGCATATAGAAATATGTAGGAATATAGAAATACAGGTCCATAGGAATGAATTTTGGGAAGTCACTGACAGTACTAAGGCTAGGGACCTACTGGGCTGTTTTAAGATGATCTGAGGAAATTAAAATGGAAGAGCTGCCACATGATTGAACTCCTAGCACGTGCAACTGGTGAGACTTTTGTCATTAATGTCTGTGGAGACAGGATTACACACACTAATTTATGAGGACCAGGTCTCACCTTTGTGACATTCATTGCTGGCCAGGTTGTTCACTAGGGTTCACACTAGGTAGAAAATTCCAGTGACAACATTGTCCTGGGGAATTCAAGGCACAAACGAACAGCAAGTCAAGGGGACAAAGAACAGTCTTGAGCTAACATGGAGGATATTATTACTTGGTTTAGTGTAAGGAAGTTTTAGACAGAAAGCTGTGAAACCTTCTTAGTAAGACCTAGCAGGTTCTGGAAAGCCCCTCAAGGGAAATGCTAGAAGCAGAGCATCTGCAAGTGAGAACAATAATAAAGGTTCTTGGGTCAGAAAAAGTACACAGAAGGATGGAAAACCCTGTAGCTTACCTGCTAGCACACAAGCCATGTGAAAGGTGGAGGTGAAAGCTCAAGCCCAACTGCAAATTGTGCATTTTAAAGGAAATGTTTCAGGCAATAGTGACTCCATAGGATTCAGCTGCTCTCTACAATGTTACTGTGCTACCTGGTCTTCAGAGTTGGGTTTTGTTCCTGAAAAAACTACAAAACTATATGCAAATAAATACTGAAAGGATTAGAAATGTGTACCATATTGTGGATCTGGAGGTTACATTGACCCTGGGGGTGTTTTCTGGGTGCCAGCACATTTCTGATATCAACCAAAGCACAAAGCAGAACCTTAGAGCAGCTCTGGACTGCCTTGTAACAGGAAAAAAAAAGTAAGAGAAACAGCTGACTTTACTTTTTGCTGTGATTATGTGGGGCAGTCAGCACCAATTTTGAGAACTGCTTGATTTTTTTTCCTAAAAATAGCCTTCTGGTCACTTTTAATCAAGTCTAAATGGCCAAGTCTCTGCGTTAGTAATTCTCCTATAAATCAAATTTGACGGGGATACCTTCAAAACCAACATCCAAGCATTTAAACATGTTGTCTCAAACTCATTTCTGACTCCAGCCTTGTAAATCATTGCCAAATATCACACAGCTTCACGGCCTAATCCTCTGAAGACATATCTAATGCTGTGTAAATCTGTGTCAGGAGGACAACAGCACCTGTGATGTCTTTCAGGGTGACATTTATGGCACTCTGAAGGAAATGGTAATCCACTCAGATCCAAAGTCTGGTCTTGCAGGATTTGAACAGAAGATCTTCTGCTTTAACAGAAAGGGCAATTATAGGACATTAATTTGGGATGAGAGAGGAAGCAGGCAGTTTGAAGACCTTGAGAAGGTCTGAGTTTTAGATTGTGGGTGAAGCTATCACACAAGGGTATTGGATGCTCTGTATTTGATTAATTTTCTTTTAAATATCCACATTCATTTTACGTATGAATGAGCTTCCCTTGGCGTGTGAGCGTATGGATCTTGGGTTCTGTCTCTGAGCATACTATCATTGAGCTGCTTTCCTTACACCTCCAGCTTTTCTGGATAGGAAGCTCCAAGGCTTTGTGGGGTTAAGGCCGTTTTCTGCACTGATCTTTCCACCAAAGATAGAAATATGTACCATAGTGTTACTTCTATCATGATATCTCAATAATACCAGTTACATTATAGTTTTAAGATGCCTTATTTCAATGGCTTTAGTATATAAGTGTGCTGCATGTATGTTTATTGCTATTAGACAAATCCTTCAGCCCTTTCTCATTATTTAAGCAGTATTAAGTCAATGGGGGGAGTGAATGAAAGTAGAAGGCTTTAGACTGTATGTTAATGCAACTTGAGAGTATAGGATGTAACCAAGCCTGGTAAGAAATAAGGACGACAGAAAATGGGTGTTGCCTCAATTTAGAAGCATTGGTGAGATTAAGATGGTTATTAAGCCAAACCATATTTTCATCTTTAACTGTTAGCATTGATAGAGGCAGGATTTAGGTGAAAGCGGCCTGTCATACCTATGGCATATTTACTCTAAAATAACTTCTTAGGCATGCTCATGTCACAGGTTCAGATCTGCTTTCTTAGGGACGGAAGCAAAGGCTTCACTGGTTGTTTTTGCCTGCCCAGTGTCTAAGGGGCCTAAGAATCCAGTCTGCTTGTCTACTGTGATGCTTTTATAGTACACTCATTGCTAAAATGCAGAAACGTTTATTAAGACCACCCTTCTGCATCAGGTGCTGGGTCTGTACACAGGAAGTGATTTTGTGTCACACCTGCTTATAGAGTAACATGTTAAAGCATGACAGTCAGCCTCCACACTCCTTAGTCATCTTAAAGGTGGGCTCTCTTATCCCTGCATATATCCAGCTCGCTGCACCCAGCTCAGGCTTGGTGTCTCTGAGACCTCCTGCCCTTAGACTTGCTGTCAACCACATGCCACAGTAAAGCCATCAATAGGTAAATAATTTAACAAATTGAGCAAGTTTTACAAAGATGCTTTTCTGTGCAGACAATGCTTGTACATAAATTAATGCATATTCAGGAGAAAGGTTGCTCCATAGACGACACTAGGTTGTGACTCAGGGAACCAGGCTCGTCTTAAGCTTCTTTACCACAGACCTCAGGGGTGATGCTGCAATAGTCAGCCAGCAGTGGGGTTCATTGGAAAAATCATCCTATTCTACTTGAACAGGGAGGTTTCCCAACAGAGCTATCTGTCTTCATGAGTGAGCTTAGAGTTTCCTTTTACATTTAGCATCTTTTTTTTATATAGTTTAGAAGAATCCCCATTTCTAGACTTAACTACTATCTTTACAACATCAATAAAGCACAGTCCTTCTAGATAAACTTTGCATACTCACATTGGTAAGTGTGAGATAATCTGATACTGTGATAACTGGGACTGAGAAAACGGCTAAAGTAAGGTGGGAGTAAGGGAACTGAGATAATATGCACAAGTCTCTTCTAAGAAAACAGTATTTTATATGTGGCAATTAATTTGGGGGTTTTTTTAATACGTGCAAATTAGCATGATATCTATGGTGTTGGAGAGCTGTTTGTTTCTCACTCCCTGCTCGGCAAGAATTCAGGCTGTGAATGTTGATTTGGGCATGAAAAGCCCATTTGCTCCATGTGTTTGTTAATCTGACCCATAATCTCCACTGCTGTTCAGTTCATCCAGAGTCCAGTCCTGTGCCCAAAAGCATCCACATTTCTGTCCAGCTGGGCACTACAAAAGCTCCAAGAACATGAAGAGCATTGGAACCCCTCCATGCTGTCTCCAGATTTGGAAATAGATAGTTTATTTCAAAGGAGAAGTCTTTAAGAGATATGAACCTCAATGTTGAGCACCTGTCAGATTTCCTTCTCCTTTAGATGCTGTGCAGGAACCAGAAAAAGTGGAAAAGTGCAAATTCAGAGCGTCATGCACATTATTCTTTTAGAGTCTATAGTATGAAGTCATGTCTATCAGCAATCTAGAAGACTTGTCTCTAATCAGTAAGTTTAAGATTAGTAATTGAATGGTAATGCTAAAATCTTTTCTTTCTGCTGAAAATGGTTAGATCTTACAGGTGCTTTCATCCAGAAAGCCCTAAATTATAACACTTATGTGACTCATATTTTCAATAGTGGAAGATATACACACCTTGAGGAAACCTACAGCACAGGCATCAAAGAGCAGTGGTTTTATAATGGTGATCTCCTTTCTCATACACTCTGCAAGCTGACATTAAGAGGATTTCTGCGTGCTTAGTTAAAAGATGCTCTGGAAATCTGTATTTCTATAAAGTTTTCATTAAAGTGGAAACAAAGGTGTTGTGAGTTGGTATATGTGTGGATGTAAACATCTCCTTTTTTCTGTGTTGATCTAATTTAATGACTTCAATTTAAGATTTTTTTCCACTGTTTCACTAACCAGCTCTTTCTTTTCAGGAAGGAAAGTTGGAAGAGAAGGAAAATGGCAGGAATGTACTAACAGATCGGATTTTTGCTTTGTTTCTTCATTCAGGTGTCTTTAATAAGCCTCATCGCCAGTACACTCGGATACTCTGAGATGGGTCCCATTAAATCCCTCAGGACCCTCCGAGCTCTGCGGCCATTAAGAGCATTGTCACGATTTGAAGGGATGAGGGTAAGATTATATAAAGCACCAATCAAAGCTTAACTATCAAGCATATTAACAGGGAACTGTTGCACATGGTTTTGTCTTCGCTGTGTCTGCCAAAGGAAATAAATGATAATGCTGTATCAAAACAACAAAATCAGAAATCCCTCCTTCATCTTGATCACTGTATCATTACAGCTTTATCCTCAGGTGGATTTAGTGATAAACTAATCCCGCTGCCTAACTTGTCATATTGCACTTTAAAAAACAGCTTTTTGGTTGAGGAATCATCTGGCTAACAATTACCTCTCAATTATAAGACACATCAGGGGAATAGCCAAGCTACAAGCTTGCTCCCTGCTTTTGACATGTGTTAAGATGAGACTGACTAGGAAAGTTCTTAAGGACTTTCTCACTAATAATTAAAGCAAAAATTAGAAATGCTAAAGGGAAAGCAGATGAATGAATGTATAAAATCTTTCCTTTGAACAGATTGCAGTTTTAACATGGAATGTCAGGATTAACATTAAAACCATGTAGCTTGTGTTTGTTGCTCCATCTTGTGCACCTACCTCCTTCCCTTCTGCAGCCTTTTGCCAGCATGGCTGTATCAACACAGCATACCTCATTATTTGTTAAGCCTACCTGCTACACTAATCAATTATTGTCTCGTAAGCACTTGTTTATCTCCTTGCACCATGCATGACCTGCAGATGATAACAACTGTGTTTTGTATAAACTGAGGTTTATACTGCTAATCTTGCAGATTGCATAGCAAGATAATGCAAATCTGTAACAAAATTACAAACCAACTTACATTTTCTGACGATCTCAAATCTCCCTACTTGGCCAATGAAAATGCTGAAGCTTTCATAGAGGGTAAATCTTTCTTCTAGACAAAATTTTGGTCCAAATCATCCAAATCATCAGTGACTAAAATGTGTAATTCATGCACTGAGCTCCTAGCAATTAACTGTTCTCATTGCAATACCCTTGCAGTAAGACAGACTGAAGACTAGAGACCCTAATGGCAGAGATAACTCAGGAAATATGGTGACAGAGCAATTTATGAAAACCTGCACCCATACATTGCCTCTTCTGTGGATGACAAGAATTGGGGATATATGGTGTTTTGCTCCAAATCTTGTGATCACCTAAACCACATTATTTTTGTGGATGAAGATCAGACAAATCTAGTTACAGACCACTCTCCTTTGTATTAGTACTAAGACAAAATGATTCAAAAGGCTCCATTCATCTGGGCTCTGAAACCTGAGTTTTATTCACCACATCCTTTTCAGCAGAAGCAATATTATAAAGGTTATTCACAAAATCAACCAAAAGCAAACTGCAGATCCTCAGCTGGCAGTAAGTGATATTGTACTACTAACGTTAATTAAAGCTCTCGCTCCGATGTCATCCGATGACTTCACACTGTCTTCATTAAACATTTGCAAATTGAGCAAAGGTTGGTATTGGCCAAAGCTGCACTAGTTACACTACCAGAGTGATTTGTGCATGGAGTATCTCAAATCAATTTAAATCTGGCTTATGAAGGCTTAGCTTTACTGGTGGATTTGCAAATTCAAGCAAAACCCCTTTAACGTATTCTAAGCTGACATAAGAATGTTCACTCATGACTTTGCATCAGTTTAACTAAATTGGATTCAAACCTGAAAAGCAGTGGGAAGACTAGCACAAAGCATCAGAACAGTGAGACAGAAAATGGAAAGAAACAATGTGAAAAAGTTTGCATCTCTATCTGAGAATAGAAGGAAGTTAGCTTAGGGGAGATCTTACATGGCATAGACACATGCAACACCCCAGCAGGTTTCCTTCCTAATGTGCTCATATTTGTAGGCCCTCTGGTTCCTGACTCAACATCCCTTTTCTTCCCTGTACCATTGCTGCAGCTGAAATTTATTCAGTCATTCTGAGCTATGGGAGGCAGTGAATTAGCTTGTAAATATGATAAAGTGTAATTGAGAATACGTGCTATTGGAAAATCAAATCATTTTAGCTTTAGTTTGTCTAACCACACTTAACATGACTAGGGACAGCTAGACCTTTCATTATTAGGAGTTCATATGCTCCAGAATGCACGGGAAAATTGTCAGTGCAATGATGGATTAAGTAATTATAATGTTGAGAAGCAAACATTGACAGTAAGAAAATAATAATAGTTTGTTCTATTATAATGTCTTTTTCTTGAATAACTAAAAGATCTCTGCATTACTAGAACAGGAACAACAAAGTTCTTATTTATTCTGCAGTATAAAAGACTTGTTTCATTATGCTGTACCTAAATTTTTGAAACAATGGGTGCTGGGGCAAAAGCATAGAGTAGCACTGGGATGGCCAGGACAACCTGTTACTGTCAGACTTCAGTCCTTTCCCTGTCTTCAAACAGGCTGGGACCTGTCTAGGTTTGACGCAAGTCTCAGCAGCTCCCATCCCAGTAGAGGTCTGCCAAATAAGGCTGAACTGTTGCCATCCTGCTCCTCTGTCCCCAGAAAAGACCCCAGTCTGACCAGTATCCCACCTGACAGTTACTGTAGATGCTGTACATTTCCATGCACATACCACCACCCTACATCCCCCACTGCATTTCAGGCCATATTGGAGCACCATGTAAATTAACTTAGGTCTGCCTGAACCAAATAATGAAGTTTCCCATGTCTCCTCATTTATGTCCATCAGGGAATTATTTCAGACATGCCACTTCCCTGCAAGTTTCTTCCCAGAAAGGGAGGTTACTGCAGTATTTTAAAACAATGAATGGGATGATGAGAGACCATTTGATGTGAAAATGATCCTAGGCAAAGTCATGGTGAGGCTGCTACAAGATACATGCAGGAAAGAAATAGCATAATTAATGCTAGTTAGCATGATTTCATGGGAATAGTTCTTGTAAAAGCGATATGGTCCTTTGATTTGATTACAAATTATGCTGATGATGGTAACTGTGCTGACATAATATCCTTAGATTTCAGAAAGGAATTTGGTGCCATGGGACATTGTGATGAAAACACGAGATTTGTACCAAGCCGAGTAAACATATTTTAAATTAATTTAAAATGGGAGATGGATCTCAAAAAGTAATGATTTACAGTGATGACACTGTAAATTCAGTGATGAGTGTCTCAGGGTGAGGGACCTTTCTGAATGAGAACTGCCCTTTAATCTGGACTTTAACAGCACCTGGAAGAAAATTTAAAATCTTTGCTGACAACACACAAAGTGAGTGGAGTAATAAGTGATATTACAGATAAGGAAATTACACTGACTGATCTGGATCACGGTGAAAAACAGATCAATTGTACAACATACATTTTCATAAAACCACATACATCATACACCTCAGGAGGAGGAAAGTAGGTCAGTCTGGGGATATTTCTTAGAAAACAGCAGCTGGGAAGGACTTAGGGATCGGGATGACTGCTCAACAGTATACCAGGTTTTGAGCAGGTCTGATAAATGAGGTGACTATTAGAATCTCTCAATATGTAGGCGAATAACCCGGCAAACAGGGGGTGAGGGCAGTGCTTCAACACTGGAATTCCACCAAACTGCTGGAAATGGAGTGTTAAAAATGGGAAATTCTCTGCAGGGAACTATGAGCATGATTAGAAACCTGAAGGAACCATGACAGTTAGAAAGAAGCTCTGTTTTTTTTAATTACCCAAAGTAATATTCAGTGGTAACTCACCTGCTGTGAAGACAGGAATGATAGGAGAAGATACCTAATGACAGCCAACTAGTGCCTCAAGTTTGGCAAATTCAACTTAAAAATACAACACTTGTTTCTGACAATGAGGACAAAGAACACCAGGAATAGATTATCTAATGATAACATTTTCATCTGTTATTTGACATCGTGACACTGTAAATAAGATGTGTTTGCAAAAGCTGTGTCCAGGTTTGGCTAGGAGTTATAACCTGGGCCTGAAAATACTGTGGGAAGCCTGGTGGGCTCTGTTATAGCAAAGGGGGGACAAAGATACCATGCAAGTCTATTTATGGATTTAAAATCTGAGTCAGCTTCAGCTGAGAAGATGGCCCATGAAAGCTGAGGGCCAGGCACATGCTATAGGTTTGCACTACTGTGGATTAGGGCAGAAGGTGGCTCAGTTTTTATGTTGTGTGGTTTTACCTATAAAGATGCTGACAGAAACCAAGCGGTATAAAACCTTTTCTTATATATGGCTATAGATGTTGCTAATCCTAGATGCAGCAGAAATTCAGCCCTTTCCACAGCAAGGTTTGCAGGTGAACTTTTAACATGAATTTATGATAATAACTTGCCTTTATGTATCCAGGTCTATAAGTCCTCTCACTTGTCTCAGAACAATCAGGAGTGCTTCCAGCAGACGAAATGGCATCATGCTGGTGTAAGAGCAGAAGCAATGAGAGAAGAATGAAACCCCCTGTTAATAATTCATTCAAAGAGGTGCTATGGGATTTGCTCCAGACTCATGTCGTGTTTTGTTATCTACAAGCCAGTGAATATAAATCAGCAGAAGGAAAAAAGCAGGAGGCAGGCACAGCCATTACCTCCACTGCTGGTACCTGGAAGTTTCTGTCCTGTCACAGGGCTTGCAGGTGGGAGCTGGGGTCAGCAGCATATGTGACATAAGTGCAGTGGCTCTGTGCTGGCATGCATTAAAATTGAACAAAAATATTGTCCTGCATAGCATCAAATAAAAGCTACTTTGACAAGGGCCAAGGCTATACCCAAATAAATACTTGATTTGGTAATCTGTTTGCTCCTCTGGGTATTTTTCTTCCTCAGCAATGCATAAATGATGAGGAAACAAATGTTACATTATTATCTTCTCAGAAAATTGGACACTAATGCAAGAGCTGGTATTTCCCATAGTCATGGAATAAAATCTAATTTTTATGGATCGATATCATCTTGTCTCAGTTTCAGAAATGTAGATAGAGAAGAGAAAGAGCTTAGTGTCTGCCTACTAGATTTTAATATCCAAAGCATGAGACAGAGATGGAGACAAATTCATATAGCAGGTCTGGTGTCTGCACAGACTTCTTTGTGCGGACCATGCAATGGCAGCATCTCCAAAAGCTGTGAATATGGAGAAACCTTGTTGGCATAGGAAAGGAAAAATTACATTTCGTGATAGTGTTCTTCCCTCAGAAAATGTCTTTAGTGTAATGTTTGGAATCCATAAGTGTATTAATGCTCAAAACACTAAATGATTTGCATCCTGCCTGGTTGATGTACTAGTATTATAATGCTGCATTCAAACCTCACAACTGTAGAGGGTCTGTAGATGGTCTGACCTTTATTTCTTTTGCATGGTTTCAGAATGGTGTCCAGTGCCAACATTCCCACACTTTGAAAGCTCCTTTTGCCTTTCATTTTTATGTGTGATTTTACACAGGGGTTTAAATCCGTGCCTCCGTTGGTGTGTAGGAACTTTACAGCATGTCACAGGAAAAAACAATGCGTTTGTTGTTAAATTAGAATGGATTCACTGGTTTAATCATGCGTAAAGACAGCGGAAGCTGGCTTAATACAGTATGTCTCTATCAGGTATTATTTAAATAAGCAAAACTTATCACAGCTAGATTTCACATCCCAAGGACTGAGTTCAGTAAAGATTTCAGAAATATTTTCTGTCTGAGACACTGTGTGCCACAGTTTAAGCCCAGCTGGCAACTAAGGACCATGCAGATGCTCACTCACTCCTCCTTCCTTCACCCTGCCCTGGTGGGATGGGGAGAAGAAAGAATAAAAAGATAAACCCCATCGGTTGAGAAAAAAACAGTTTAGTAATTGGAATTAAGTAAAATACAACAACAACAATAATAATTATGATAATGATAATGACAACGGTGATGATAATAATAATGTTGATAATAATAATAATGTTGATAATAATGTTGATGATGATAATAATGGAGAGAAAGAAATAAAATAAAATAAAATAAACAACCAAATAAACCCCCAAGTGATGCACAATACAATTACTCACCACTGACTGGTGCCCAGCCTGTCCCCTTTCGATCAGCTCCTCCCAGTTTATATATTGGGCATGACATGCTGAGGTATGGAATACCCCTTTGGCCAGTTTGGGTCAGGTGTCCTGTCTCTGCTCCCGCCTGGCTTCTTGTACCTCTCCTCACTGGCAGAGTATGAGAGACTGAAAAGTCCTTGATCAGGATAACAACTATGTGGGAACAGCTAAAACATCAGTGTTTTATTAGCATCGTTCTCATCGTTCTCTCTAAAGCCAAAAACATAGCACTGTACCAGCTACTAGGAAGAAAATTAAACTGCCCCAGCCACAGCCAGGACACCGTGGTGTACCCCAGCCATTTCCAATTAATCTTATGATTATGAGAGGTAGTTTGACTAAAGTATACTATCCAGTAGGATCTGAGAGGTCAAGGTGACTTCACAGATTGCCCTTGAATTAAAAGATTCCTCTTGAAAAAAACATCATCCCATGGGTGGGATGCCAACAGATTAGATCTTCAGCTACAAAAAGAGAAAAATAATTATTTTGTGTGAAGCCTTTAATGGTGATCTGGCTCCTCAGGTAGTATTAATACTTGATCACCTGTCACCATGAGAGGATTCAGCCCAGTTAATCAAGGGCCCAAAACAGCTTGTTAGTGAAGTGTCTGTGTAGGTGCTGACATTAATTCTGTTTTTCCTCTCCTGTTTCTCTAAGGTGGTGGTCAATGCCCTCGTGGGAGCCATCCCTTCCATCATGAATGTTCTGCTTGTCTGCCTCATTTTCTGGCTCATCTTTAGCATCATGGGAGTGAACCTCTTTGCTGGAAAGTTTGGAAAGTGCATTAATAAGACAGAAGGAGATATGCCTTTAGACTCTAAAATTATTAACAACATGAGTGACTGTATACTCTATAATGTGTCAGGCACGTTTTACTGGACAAAAGTTAAAGTTAACTTTGATAATGTTGGTGCTGGGTATCTGGCTCTGCTACAAGTGGTAAGTGTGACTGCCAGAAACTATTGAACAAATGTTGCTTGTTCCCTTGAAATAATCAGTTTAAATACTTGGGTTAACCTCTATGCTTTTCTGTTTTTTTCAGACATCAGGGGAATTCCTTTCCTCAAGTATAAATTAGTTATATTTGGTGTATTCATTTGGCCTAGAGATATTTATGACAGCTTTTGGGTTTAATTTGAGTTTCTGATACATTACTGATATAACCCTCTGGGAGGTGATTGGACTACTGAGATGAATTAAAGACCTTTTTGTCAATAATGTAATCCAGAGCAAAGTTCAGTACCAGAAACAAAAAGTCACGGTCCAGGAAGGGCTGTTCATGCAGATAGAATGCACTGGCCTTCCTGAAGAGCCTGGGACTTCACTGTAGCCTGCTGGGATAAAATGAAGTTGCAGTGCCTTCAGTTACACAACTGAAAGGTTTAGCATAAAGCTGTAGTCACAAAGGAACCTTTAATTTACAGTCTTCTGCTTCCATGGAGATGTTCAAGAAGGACACTCGTGTCTCTTATTTTGGTTCCTCACATAACTTCCAGCTGCTAAATACGAGTCAGACTGAACCTAACTATGAAACAAGGTGATCATCAGATTGCTGCAACTCTACACAACCTGGTGTCTCTGGAAAGGTGGTGAGAGAATATCAGAGAAGAGACTGTTGAGGCTCAAAGACGATTGCAATATTTGATCTCTAAAGACAGAAGTAAGCCAGTTTTACAACCCTTTTCAGCAGCAAATGTAGAACACAGATAAACAGGTTGTATGCGCTGAGATTTATTGTGTTGTGATGTAGCACAACCTAATGGATAGAGCCACATGAGACTCCACCTTCTTGATCCCGCTCTGCTGCTCGACTGCTGAGCTATTTTATACAAATTGCTTCATGTTTCAGTTCCATGGGACCTTCATATAAAATAGTGGTAATGATTAACTTATTTCCATTGTTCCTAATTTGCCCTGAAGCCTAGTACAAGGCTGGAAATGCTCTAGGAGTTTGTCATATTGCATTTTATGTACACAGAGTTAAACGAGTCCCTCACCACATCCTTGGATGAGGAGGTTACTTTCTTGAAGCACCTGTGATGTCATTCCTTGCTTCTTGGATAAAAGCTAGCATGCTGGGAGCTCAATTCGGTTGCCGTATGTAGAAATGCACCCTTTGCAATGCAGTAGGGTATTGCCCTGGGCCCCTGCCTGCCCTCCCAAGAAGGCATCAGCCTCCCATAGGTCCTGATGAGATCTGACACCCTTTCTCCTTCCCATGATACAAGTTTGCTTTCTCCCAGATCTTTCTTTCTTTGTCACAGACACATGAAATTGCTGTATAAAATGGCTTTCCTTTCCTGTAAAAATGTTTATCCTTATATACTCTGTTCCTGGTACACATAGACTTGAGTTTGAGATCTTCTGACAGTTTTCCATTGAGTCTTTGCTTTCGTAACTTCTGGAGAGCAGAAAGGTTAGAATGAGCACAACAACTTTTGGTTCTTTCCATGACATAAAGCTGAACTTGCTAGAGCAAGTTTTATCTTTTGCATGTAATTATAATATTCAGCTCACCCATGCAGGGCAGATGAATTCACTTTAAGCATCTTTAATTAGATTTTTCATTCTATGTTTGTCTTTTATTTAAACATTCAATTTAGCTGAGCAAAAATTTCCAGGTTTAAAATAATATACCTTACCTTAGTTTGGTGAAAAACTCCATCAGAGTTGTAGTTACTCCTTCACCATTTCTTCTATAAGGCATTTCCTGAGGAGTATCCTGAAGCAGTCTCCTCTGATGTTCTGCAGTATCAGTTCCTGGGCACTTGGTAATGGTGATACTGATTGCATTCTCCAGGTGGGGCTGCCTTCTGTTGCAATCAGCGATGGCAGAAGAAACATAACTGGTCGTAAGATGGATCTTGGCACATTTCTCAAAGGATGGTCTAGTACTGCTGTTTTCTAGTGCTGCTGTCCATTTTTGAAAATGGACATGATGACCCTGCAGGGTTCTTTCAAACCTGTGATCCTGTATTGAGTAGCAGAGAGGTAGTTTTTCCAGTTGCAAAAGTACAAAAGAAGTGCCATAAATGTAGTGTCTGCTGGCTGGACAAACCAATTATGGTGGGAAATGAGGGAGTCCTAAAACCTTGCTCAGCAGGTGTTTGACTCCTTCTTCCAGGAGGAAGGGCAAGAGCCAGATGCCATTAGAGGCTTGATTTTAACTTTTATTCTGCACCTGGAGCTCTTATGTCTGTTGCTAATGACAGTTTTAGGCAATGAAGTGTAAAGATGACACCCACAGAGAAGGAGCCCAAACATCTGGATCTCCTTTGCCAGACTCCAGCCAAGGAGTGTCAGTTACAGGTGCTTTTTGCCAAATATCATCCTTACGGGGTTGCATTTCATGAGCAAACTGCCATGGGAATTGCAGGGGATCAGTTAACAGCTCAGCTCTCCTAAAGAGACAGACACATCCTTACATCTTTGTGCATGCTGAGACAGTGTGTAGCAATGATGAGATAAGCATTTTGGTTACAACCCTCTGGGATCCAAAATACAAGCTTTTAAGTGGGCCTTGTCTTTTGGCTGTTGACATTTTCAGCTGCTGCAGCACACTATTTAAGTGACTCTGAAGTTACCTTTGGATGCCTGAATGTGTCTGAAAATCCAAATGGAAATTTGTAAAACAAATCTGTCTGCCTAATGTTCTGTCGTCATTTCTACAGCATCTTTGAAAGAAATGAGAAGTTGCTACTATGGAAGCTTTAAGGCTTACTACTATCCAGAGACAGACTTGCTGACAGTGTAGTTGATGACTGCATGAAATTTTCTCCATATATCCTTTGTTCTTTTCCTACCTTGTTTAGGATCCATCATGTTGTTCTGAACATGCTACTTTGAATTGATGAGCCTGAGAAAACATTCATGTGAAGTGGTCAGTCAGGTTACAAGCTTCTCCAACAAACAAATTGTCTGTCTCACTGCAGATTACTAGAATAGGAGGTAATCTCTGCTCACACTACAAGCAAGAGAAATGCCTCATTCACAGGGAAGAAAAGATCTTTATTAGCATAACTTTCTAATTTCCAAGAATGATGATTCACTCTTCTGGGGATTTAACACCCTTAACACCTAATCTAGTAGGAAAAAAATTATTGCTACAACCCAGTGCTTCAGTAATGCTTTTTCTATATTCCCAGAATTGCTTTGCAGATCACAGCACCTATCTTCTATAAATCTGTATTTGAGCTGAACAAAGAAATATCTTAAATTTCCATCAGGAGTTTTGCATTTCCCTTAAAGCATCATTTTCTTCATGTTATGATGACCTCCTCTTATTTTTTCACAACATATCTTGAAATTTCAGCAATCTATTGAAGAACAACAAGAAAACAAGTGGTCTCTCACCCAGCATCTGGGTTGCTTGGAAAAGTTTTTCTTAGATAGGAACAGACTTATATCTCATATGTCCTACAACTCTTCATCACTCTGGGACTCCAGATAAGGCATGGGAAGATAACAGAAGCACTCCTAGACCAGTACAGCACTCAGGAGCTGTAGAGTTAAGTGAACCCCTCGTGCCAGCTTCTAAGTCATGACTGAGCTCATAAATCAGCTACAAAATGGTCATGAGACAGCAGCATGTGTCTAAAGCTACTGAGTTACATGATCCCTTGCACTTCTCTAAAGCATAATACTAGATTTTACTTTCACTGTGGATGCAAAATGTGCAAAAAATACCTGCTTCTGAATAAACCATAAATTGGTGCACTAGGGTAGATTTCCCCCTATGTCCAAAGGTCAGGAATAAGCAGTATTTCCATAAGGAATTACTGGTGGAAATTCAAGGGGACCAGATGCAGAGTCCCTGGAGCCCATGTAGTCTAGCACAGCGCAGACCTCTGTGGTGGGTCCAGTGCTCAGTGATGCCCTTCCCAGCAAATCATCTTAACACAAAATAAACATAAAACAAATGTTATAAAATTGGGGCTGTGGTGAAATTGAACAAACTGAGAAATTCAACAGGAAAGCCAGCAGATAGTGGAGTTAGCATAGCCAACTTAAATGTACATAGTTTGGCTGTACTGTTGATGGCTGTGTTTTAGCTTTCAGAAGTGTCTCTCACTAACAGTAATGCTTAAAGAAGCATTTCAGAAATGTGAAGACCAGTATTTCCTCTGTCAAAAGCAGTCATTTTTATTGCACTATTACAGTCCTTTTCAAGAAAAAAAATATCTCAAATCCTCACAGATTTAAAGGCTTTCTTTATTTTAAGGCATCATTTGGTTTGAGGGCAGTTAGCGCCATCCTCCTCCCCACTAATTTACTGCATTGCAGCTCTAACCACCAGTCAAATAACAAAATGTAATCCTCAAGATGAGTTTATCGGTAGATAATCTCATCACATGACAGTTTCAGTAGAAAATGGTGTTTCTCTGGATAGCTTCCAGGCAGGATAATATCACAAACACTCCCATGAAGATTTTGTCACTTCCTTATCCAGAGAGTAAGTGGTTACTAATTCCAGATAAATAATTTCTTTCCCCAGTGTTATAATTTCTTTCATTCTCAGTATCTTTTACCCTCTGCAGATGAAGTGTCTAGGGAAGCTTTCCAGAAGCCCCACGGATTTTTAATTCTCTTACTTCTGGACAACTGGGAAACAGAAAGTCACAGTACTCCATTCTCTTCATATTTGTTTTTGTCAGATCACTTCACCATCTGTTATCACTATAAACCACCATGCCTTGCAGTAGAGTCTCTCATGTCTGTGCTACACACTGAGGGGTAAAATAGGTACTCAAGAGAAAAGACTTCCTCCTAAGTAGGAGAAAAATACAGGCTAAGATCATATTGTCTTGTGCCAAAGGGAAAGGATTTCTTGTTCCATCCCATCCACTCTTCCTGATCATTCCTTTAAACACTTTACCTCTAAAGTGGTTTTAATACACAGTACCATGGAATAGAATTTCCAAAAGGTTCTGATTTGGGACATTTACTCTCTTTCGACCAGTAGATAAAAAAGAATGCAACTTTCACACAGTAGTTTAGATATACTTTCATGAGAAATATGGTTGACTTCTTGTACTACATTTTTCTTTGCCTCAGTAGCCTTCAGAGGTAAATGAGAAGGCAGCATTTCTTCCAGAATTTAATTTAATAATAAAGAGTGTATAATGGAGCATTTCTAAAACTGCTGGATATACCTAGCTCAACACAAATGCCTAGGTTTCTCCTGGCCAAATTCCTATTTGTGTTATCCAGAATTGCGTGCCCACACACCAGGAGAAAATTCAACCTAAATTTGAGTAGAATGCAAAAAAATACTGGGCTCAGGTCTTTCATGCATGCTAGTGTAAATCTAATTATAAGAATAAATCTAAAAGAGGCCTCATTATCTGCTCACACTGATTTTAAATCCAGGGTAAGTCTAAATGGGTCAGAAGTCAAACGAGAAACAACCACAGAGAACCAATATAAAGGCAATGTGGCTTAGGCCAGGTATGTTTGGCATCAGGCTGTGTCTAATGAAAGGCATATATTTAGAGCAAAGAGTCATGGTTTTACTATAGAACAGTAAAAATCACTTCTACATGTTTCTCCTAGGAGTGTTGTCACTGCCCTTTCTCCATTGCAGGTTCCAGTAAAAGACACTATGGAAACCCCCTATGCTTAAACAATTTAAAAAAATAAATAAAACAAAACAAAACAAAACAAAAAACCCTGATTAAAAGAGGTGGGGAAAAAAAGAAAAAAAAAACCTGAACAGTAAAGCAGATCAAGTTTCCAGGGCCAGGCTACAGCAGGTGTTGATTGCCTTTGCTCCTTTCAAGTAAGCTGTGATTTATGTGACTCCCTGGGCTTTAACATTGCCTTGATTTATTCTGTTCTAAAAGTGGGCAGAATCCAAGCTTCAGTGGGATCCTACAATGTAGTCACTGCCCATCAGTCTGAACAAGTAATATGGATGGGATCCATCTCAACCGATCGGAGACTTGTGCGTGACAGCACTCAGTTGTCCTGTGTAGCTGTAACTCTTAATTTCTTGAAATACTTAAGATCAAAACTTCCAAAGATTTAATTGCCATGTTTTCTGTCCTTTTTTAAATATCTTTTTAAAATCTTTTAAAAATACCTGTTTTATTCCTACAAGTGTAGAAGATCAGAAAACATGAATGAGAAAATCCAGGAGAAAACAATTATAGATTTTAAATATCTAAATGAACATAAACTCTTTAATTCATTAACTGTGAAGAACAAGCTCAGCATTGCATTTTGAAAACTCATCACAGAGATGATATCATCATCTCAAGATATACCCATTTAATATGCCTAAATATGTATTTTGTGGGTTTTTTTCAGGCGACATTTAAAGGTTGGATGGATATCATGTATGCAGCAGTGGATTCACGAGAGGTAGGAGACTACAACAAAATTAATAATTTCCTTTTCCATTGACTTTTGCAGCATTCATGGTGTTTAACAACAAGAAAAACATGCAGGTTGCCAGTCCCTCTCTTACTCTGGTGAAGACAGTTGCAGACCTTCATATTTTTCAGCTGCTATTGAACCATCACAACCCTGAGATTAAAACAAATGTAGCCCTCAGTTCTACTCAACTGATTTATCTCTTTCTACTGCAAAATTCCTAACACAGAGAGGCACCTCCAGGGTGAGACTGAGTATACCAAAAACCCAAATTATCTTCTCTGTTTCTTCCACTCTCCCTGTTGACTGCAGTATTTTCCAAGGATCTAACTTCTGATAATAGAACCTATTTAAAAGCTCTGGGTTTAAATTACATTCCTCTGCAACATGCACAGTCAACCCTCCCTTCACCTTGAGCAAGTTTTTTCTCTGCAACCAGGAGCTCCATTCAAGGAGAGTGGAGGAGCTCATCGCAGGGAAGGAGGCTCGCGCACAGTCAACCCTCCCTTAACCTTGAGCAAGTTTCTTCTCTGCAACCAGGAGCTCCATTCAAGGAGGGTGGAGGAGCTCATCGCAGGGAAGGAGGCTCGTGTGAGCTTCCAGCTCTGGCTTGAGATCTGCTGGAGCTCTGGGTGCTGGTGACTGCCCAGTTCTTACTTGCATCCTGTTCAGCTTTCAGGTTTCCTAATAATAAATAATAAGGTCCTTTCCAACTCTAACCTTTCTATGAGTCTATGATTAAAAAACCATTTCCCTTGCTGCATTACATGCAGTGATTTGTTTATTGTTCTATTGAAGGACCTGAAGTCTCCTTTCTGTCTTTTAATAATGTTAGAGAAACAAGATTACACTTACTGTAAATTTTTGAGGTTGCTTTCTGACAACGGGAATTTGACAGGCTAAACTGAGTAACAGGGAGTAGACCCCTAACTCTAAGAATAATGGGTGGAAAAATCTCATGGCATCATAGAGACAGAGAAGTACCTTTGCATAACATGGCTCATGATGATGATTTATTCTTGTACTACATGTACATGTGTGTGTATTCTCCTTGCTGCAGAATTAAACTCATGGGTTTTACATGAGAAAATTTGTCATTTAGGGAAATGCAAGCTTCTGACATGTTGATTAGATACCCAGAGTTGGTGGGGCAAATCTGAACCATGTGATTTGAGGCTACTGGACTATATTGCTCACTTCTTCAAGAGATCTTACTCATTTCCACCCTTCATAAAAGAAAAATTGTACTTCTAAATACAGTGGTTTTCAGTAGCATTGAATTTTACTATGATCATACTTTTGCTTTTTATAAGTACCATTGTTCATGTAAGATTATGGTTAATCAGAAAATTGATTCGTCTTCTCTTCTGGGTTCAGACTGAGAACATTATATAGGATTTATTCGGAAGTTGCTCTTTCTGGAGCAGTGTGATAGTGTGATCGCTGTGACAGCATTGTGAATCAGAGCTGAAATTACTGTGGCCTTGCAGATGCTAGTGGTAAACTTCAAAAAGACTGAGGAGGTTGAGTCTGCTAGTGGGAGTTACACCGTTTTTCCTGTTTCTTAATCTTCTTTGCAAATGGACAGTTTTCTTTTAACTGCATTAATATTTTGACATGTGCAGAAATGGTGTCATTTTCACTTTTTCCGTTTTCCCTTTGCAGTGTGAGGAGCAGCCTGAATGGGAATGTAATTTATACATGTACCTGTACTTTGTGATTTTCATCATCTTTGGGTCTTTCTTCACATTGAACCTCTTCATTGGTGTTATCATTGACAATTTTAACCAACAAAAGAAAAAGATAAGTAGTGCATATGCTACACATCACCTTGTGATTGCTGCAGAGAGCCAGGCAAGGGATAGATTTATAAGCAGTGGTTTTGCCACATTAGCCTTGAGATTAGCCTTGACAGAACAGGCACAGAAACCACCTTGCAGGACTTTTACAAAAGCACAGTTGTAGCAGCCCCTAATGCTTCCATAGGATGAGCATCCTGAAAATACAGGCTGGGGGATTATATTCCATACAGAAAGTAGTGAAGCAGCTCCATGCATATGGGTTCTGTGGCACAAACTGCCACAGGAGCACAGACCACCCTGGTGTCCCCCATGCACAAGCAGTGTCCCTCAGGGTCAGGGAGAAGCAACCTGGCCTGAGAGCTGTGTTTCTTACTGCTATGTAGGCTCTGAACAAAGGGCTGAGGCTCTTACATTTTCCTCTCTCACCTCAGACCTACCTTGAGTGGAGACATAATCTAAGTCTTGCCTCTCCTTGGCTGACTGCACTGCTCTGTGTCTCCTGCCCTTTGCCTCCATACCATAAACAGCTCCTAGCACTGCACCTCATCAAGCCCTTCTGTTAGGGTTTAACCCCAGCTGGCAACTAAGCACTCTCTCCCCAGTGGGACGAGGAAGAGAATATGAAGGGTAAAAGTGAGAAAACCTGTGGGTTGAGACAAAGACATTTTGTCTCAACCCACACAAGTTGCATGCAAAAGCAAAGCAAAAGAAGGAAGTCATTCAGCCATCTCCAGGAAAGCAGGGCTCCATCACATGTAATGGTTGTTTGGGAAGACAAATAGCATAACTCCGAATGTCCCCTTCTTCCTCCTTCTTCCCCAGCTTTTATTGCTGAGCAGATGTCATATGGTATGGAATATCCCTTGAGTCAGCTGCGGTTAGCTGTCCTGGCTGTGTCCCCTCCCAACTCTTTGTGTGCCCTCAGACTCCTCGCTGGTGGGGTGGGGTGAGAAGCAGAAAAGACCTTGGCTCTGTGCAAGCACTGCTCAGCAGTAACTAAAACATCCCTGTGTTACCAACTCTGTTTTCAGCACAAATCCAAAACATCACCTCATAGTAGGTACTGTGAAGAAAATTAAATCTATCTCCACCAAAACCAGCACACCATCTCAGATATTCTGATAAAAGCTACATGAAAAGGGAAATAAGAAAACAGAAAAGAATTCAGCCCTGAACTTTGGATGGGGGCAGTGGAGCTCTTTTCATCAAAAGTAATAGCTTTGTTCTCACCCTATACTTAGGTGGCCAGGACATCTTTATGACAGAAGAACAGAAAAAGTATTATAATGCAATGAAAAAGCTGGGATCTAAGAAACCTCAAAAGCCAATCCCAAGGCCACTGGTAAGAATGGCATAATGTGGTTGGATTCATGTAATAGCTGAATATTTATTTAATATAATAAATGCAATTCAACTTCCCCGTATAGGAAGGGTAAGCCCTCCCAGATGAAAGCCACTTAAAATTGGCATGGTTTGACATTTGACAATATTTGCAAGTCCAGTGACCTGTGATACAAAATTCCTTCTGTTCTGCAATATTGATTAGAAGTCCAGTTTACGTATGCAACTTACATATGCCACTGGCCACATGCCTGCCACACTGAATGAGTCGATGGCCCCAGTCCAGAGTACTTTTTCAGTAGTTTCAAGAAGCATTATGAGTAAATGGGTTTGAAAACTCATCATACAACCATTCGTCATCATCTTTAAGTTTATAAAGCAGTATATATTCTATTTTCCTCTACTTTCTGACCAATCAGGAGACATTAATGTAATCATTTTGAAATTATTCAGATTTCCTAACTAAATCTTCTCATTTCCTGCAGAACAAATACCAAGGTTTTATTTTTGATGTTGTCTCAAAACAAGCCTTTGATGTCTCCATCATGATCCTCATCTGCCTTAACATGGTTACCATGATGGTGGAAACGGATGACCAAAGTCAAGAAAAAGTGAACATCCTCCATAAAATCAACATGCTTTTTGTTGCCATCTTCACTGGGGAGTGCATCATCAAAATGCTGGCTCTGCGACACTACTACTTCACCAATGGCTGGAACATATTTGACTTTGTTGTTGTGATTCTCTCTATCGTAGGTAGGTGAACCTGGATTTTTACCCAAGCTCCAAAGTTAAAAAGGCAGACATAAAATTAATTAGACAAAGGCTTTGTTCAATAATACACACTTTTAACTCAGGGAACTGGATCCTAAGTATATTTTAAAAATATGTTAAGTATAATATAACATAATGCTGCCTAACAGTAACTCGTGTGATCAGCAAAATGATGAGTTTTATGATACCATAGTATTGGTTTCAATGTATATTTAATGGTTTATAGTAATAAAATATGGTCCAGAACTAGCACCATACCCTTAACTCCAGTTTTGCATAACAGTCAAAGACAGAGAAGTAAAAAAGCCACATGAAAAGGGCACGTGTGCCTTGCTATTGTTTTGCTGTTTACTTTTTATTACAACGGTATGAAACAGTCCTTCAGGGCAGGCTTGGGCAGGTGCAGTGAATCTGGCTTTTCTCAGCCCTATTATCACTAGAGCACCACACGCTGGTATAGCCAAGGGAGTAAAGAGAAAGACAGTTTGTTAATTTGTGCCTTTTGCTGTTCTACAGCCCCAACCAGATATTGTATGTTAGGTGCTACAGAAATGCAGGTCAAATATGAATCTGAAATCCTGCTGACTAGTTTTCATTGAAGTTGGAGTAGCAACTGGAAGATGATCGACTGCGCCAGTGAGCAGAAGAAACTCAGAAATTCATCTCTTCCAAAAAAGTTTCTGTTTTGGAGGAGGGAATAGGTGAATGAAAAAGTACCATGTTAGGAAAACATAACCATCTTCTTACTGAGAGATACTCCTGTTGCTCTAAATTCTCTGGGATCCTGGGAGAATCTGCAAGAACTCTGGGAACCTGCAAGACCCCAGTGCAGATGATCTCTGGTGCCCAGAGAGCAGCCTGTGATTTGGGAGCCTTGGATCATGTGGATTTCAAAGATCTGGGTCACCCAGGGAACATCACTACAATGCAGCTGTCATCAGTGCCTTGATGCTGGATGCTCTGGATATGTCCACAGCAGCCAGTTGACCAGATCTGTCACATTGGTCATAGTGCTGCCCAGTGATCAACCAGGTTGTTTCAGCATCAGGGTTCTTGGGCCGTGCTAGTGAGCCCTCTCCCAGGCTGGGCTTGGAGACATGAGCTCAGCAGGGCTCAGTGCAACCAGGGACTGTTGGCATTAGACAATCTGGACCAAGCTGCTCTGTTTCTGCAGGAGGAGCTTTGCTACAAGGATGCAAGCTTATTTCTTGCTAGTACAATCTTAGCTCTTAGTTCCTCTGCAGCCCACCAGGGAAACTGGAAAAATTAATAAGCAACCAACAACCAAGCAGATTTCCAGTAGAAACCTGCACTGTACTCATGGTAGCTCAGAAAAACAGGCCCAGCACACCAGCTGACTTGCTAACATTTTACAGCAAAACATCATATCAGAAAATTTCTGACCAGCTGCAGGATAAATTTCTCAGGTGGGTTATGGCCAAAAGCTGCAGATACTTGTGTTCTGTCTGAATTGCTCCTAGTTTCTCATTCCCAATAGACAAGCTTTCCCTCAATAAAACTGCTGCAGTCACTGACACCTTTGCTCATAGTCTCAATGAAGTTTGCATGGATTAAATGGGCATGAAAACACTAATGACATTGCCATTCCCTTTATCATGGGTCTTGCCATCTGGAGAACTTTTCATTGATTTTAACCATAATCCTGACTAATTGTTTTAAAGGGAAGCCTGGAATTATTTCCCATGTACTAACTCGCTATTTGTCTCTTTTCTTTTCAAGGCACCGTACTTTCTGATATCATCCAGAAATATTTCTTCTCTCCCACACTCTTCAGAGTTATTCGCTTGGCTCGGATTGGCCGGATCCTAAGACTCATCCGGGGAGCCAAAGGAATTCGAACTCTTCTGTTTGCCTTAATGATGTCCCTACCCGCTCTGTTCAACATTGGCCTCTTGCTTTTTCTGGTCATGTTCATTTATGCCATTTTTGGCATGGCTAACTTTGCCTATGTTAAGAAGGAACATGGGATTGATGACATGTTCAACTTTCAAACCTTTGCTAACAGCATGCTCTGTCTCTTCCAAATCACAACATCAGCTGGCTGGGATGGTCTTCTCAACCCTATTTTAAATACTGGACCACCGCATTGCGACCCAAACCTTTCAAATGCAAATGGTTCAAAGGGAGACTGTGGAAGCCCTGCTGTAGGGATTTTATTCTTTGTTACTTATATCATTATATCATTTCTCATTGTTGTAAACATGTATATAGCCATTATTTTGGAGAACTTCAGTGTAGCCACTGAGGAAAGTACAGAGCCTCTAAGTGAGGATGATTTTGATATGTTCTATGAAATCTGGGAGAAGTTCGACCCTGAAGCCACTCAGTTTATTGAGTATTCTGCACTTTCAGACTTTGCAGATGCGCTGTCAGAACCTTTGCGCATAGCAAAACCAAACAAAATCAAACTCATAGCAATGGACCTGCCCATGGTCAGTGGAGATAGGATCCATTGCTTGGATATTTTGTTTGCTTTTACAAAAAGGGTGCTAGGAGAATCTGGAGAGATGGATGCCCTTAAAATACAGATGGAAGAAAAGTTCATGGCGGCAAATCCATCTAAGATCTCTTACGAACCCATTACAACAACTCTCAGACGGAAACAAGAAGAGGTCTCTGCCATTGTCATCCAGCGGGCCTACAGGAGACATTTGTTTCGGCGCTCCATGAAGCAGGCATCTTACTTGTACCGGCACAGAACTTTTGACAGCAGCATCCTCGAGGATGATGCACCTGAGAAGGAGGGTCTTATTGCGTATATGATGAACGAAAACTACGGCAGGCCAATAGACAAATCAGAAACTCTGTCCTCCACATCTTTCCCTCCATCCTATGACAGTGTCACCAGAGGTACGAGTGATAATCTCCAGCTAAAGATGACAGACTCCAGCAAAAGCGATGAGGCTATAGATTGTCTTCTCTCACCAGACAAGGATAAAGAATCAATTGTTTAAATGTTTGTTTAGAATGCTTTAAAATATTGTTTACAGAATGTAATGCTGTAACTACACAATGATTGAAGCAGCCTTCTTATTAAAAATTAGTTGCAAAAGAAACAATGGAGTTTTTTACCCTTAACTACAGGAATCTAGTAAGTCATATAACCTTTGACCCTGCTCTTTTTGACTTGGCTCAATATTTATATTTATATATACACAGGAAGAATCCTTGCAGGGTCATAGCTGTTATATCAATGGTGTGAATAAGAATATGCTAGACTGTAAAACAGTAAACACAGTGTATATCCACAGATAAAGCCTGGCTGTATACATTCATTTAAGGTCTTACTCATATTAGTGTGTTTACTTATGGCGATGTATGACCTTGCATTCTAAAAAGAAAAAAAAAAAGTATCACAGCTGCTGTAGCAAAATGTAACACTTACTGTATATGTTGTGAATGGTCTTTCATAAATTTATTATATTTGATATTTTTTTACTTAAAAAACAAAAGTCTCTTTTTCCATGGAGGTTAATGATCCTTACACTCTTCATGATGAACTCTGAGTCAAGGTAATAGGAACTTGCGTGATCCCCATCACTTGAAGAGGAAAGTTGTTGCAAAGTGAAACTACCAAATTAGCAACATTTTAACTGTTTATTTCACTAAGCCCTCCCTCTTGGGACTTGCAACTGCTCATCAGCAGAAACACAAAAACAGGGAAGGAATTTATGTCAAAATAATGAAAGAAATGGCTTGTTCTATCCTTCAGGAAACTAGACAGTAATGCATTCTGTTTGTAAAACTGTTAATAAAAGCACTAATTTTTTAGTATGTTTCAAGAATCTGCTTTGAATACCCCAATCAAACTCACCATAGAAATAGCGCATCACGTTTGTGTGTAGTGCTCCAAAGCACCATCTATGCTGGCAAAGTTTCTGTTAAGGTAGTGGGATAGGTTACCTTTTCCCCAGGAACACTGAGCTAAGCAGCCTTATTGGAAACTGTGCATCAATATTACTCCAAAAAATACTACTACTAATAATATTTATAGTAAAAACGTCAATTGTACTGTGCAGAACGGCTAAGACAGTGTGATCGAGAAGGTGGGAGGGGAATTGCCTCTGGATCTGCACGTAAATTTTGAGATTTTGAATCCTTTCTACTCAGTGTCCATCTTTCCTTTTCTCAGATGGTACAGTTAGATTACTGGGGAAGGACAAGAAATAGAGGAACCAATGAAAAGAATCTACTAGAAAATAGATATATCCTCATTCCTGTAGGCAAAGTAGTATTTACAGTTGATGTGTACATCAGCTCCAGGCCAAAGAAATGACAGTGGGATGAAAGTTGGAATATGTGGCTGTAGATAAGTATTAGAGGTTTTACGTGCTAAAATAGACTATTGTTTATTATTAAACTTTCAGCCTCAATAGAATGTAAGAAAGTGTTTGAGGAATATAGAGATAAGTCCATCATTACAGACAAGTTCTTCCTTTTCACCTTCAGACTGATTGTACTTGGGTTTGGTTGGACTTCACTGAAAATCTTGAGATTTCTGTAATGAGCCATTGCACTTTAAGGAAGAGTAATTATGCTTTTTGCCTTGGAGAAGCAAAGATATCAAGAATGTATTTAAGGTGTATTGTCATTGACAGTTACATCCCAGGTTGTAAAGGAGCCAAAATCCACGTGGGGTTGGCAACAAGAATTAAAGCAACATGTTACAGTCAAGTTTATCTATGGCCATTGTTCTCTGTCCTCTAAACAAGCCAGAATATGTAAAGATAACATGTCAAAAGGATGATGATATATCTGTGTAAATATGGACTAATATATTCTCTCCATTCATTGAGAGGTGTCTCAGGCATTCACTTGAGAGTGGTCTATCAGTTAATTCAGTGGATTTGCCATCAGGATTCCTGGGGTTTATTCCTGATTCTTAGTACATGATTTTTAGGCAAATAATTTAACCTATCTGTGCCTCAGTTTACCCATCTGTAAAATGGGGATAATAATACTTACCTACCTCACAGGTGTGTTGGAAGACTTTTGGTTGCAAAGTGCTATAAGGGAATGAAACGTACTCTATAAGTATTATTATAAATGTAATCTCTTGCCCTTTTAACCTCATGTCTATGGTGTATAATATAGGGCTGTTCCTCTGGGCATTTTGTTGCCTTTAAATCTTGTATGTAATTAGATTCTAACTTAAGGGAACTACTCTTCGTTCCTTAAAATGAAAACACTCTTTATTCTTCCCTCCTTTCCTACCCCTAACCTCCCCAAACCAAAATTGCTCAAGGCTTCTCAAATTAGAGAAACTCTATACAGCTTTCCTGTGTATTTATGCTGTAATGTTATTCTGACTGTACATATCACCCAGAAAGAGTATGCGATTTTTATATTTATATGCATATATATATACACACATACATATATCTATACATATATATGTATCTTGTGAGTTTATAGAGTGGCTGACACTCACAGAGGACACGACTTACTGATTAAAATGTTTTCTTCTCAATGGGATTTATTGATCATTAGCAATGAGCTGCTGCCTATAATGAAACTGCTTAATTAAGAAAATAGTGCATTCATTACTTGCTGAACAAGCATTTATTGGCTGACAACTGGTAAAATTATCTTCCTTTCAAATCTTTAGACTTAAAAAAAAAAAAAAAAAAGAAAAATACTAAGAAAAAGGAACATTTCTTATATGATTTTTTTTTCACAATATAAACTATTCAAAACCCAAGGAAATAGCCAGCCTGCACTCAGCAGTGTGGTAGTTGTCATGCCAGTTTAAAAGTATTTTAATTATTTGCAATTTCTGTTAGAAAACTTTCAACTGATATTCTTATTGATAGTCAGGCCCTGTAATGAACAGGATGTAAGGTAATGATTAGCTGGTCACTGATAATATTAGAGAAGAGCACTTCCACTGGTCATTTCACCCTTACATTGAACATTTTATTGCCATTGCAATGAGACCCTATAGTCCTGATATTATTACAAATGGTTCTGTCTTCTACCCAAAACCTGTAAAAAACCCAAAATCATCACGCAAAAAAATCTGAAACAGGGTCTTAACTGTAGATGTTTACAGTGCAACTTTCTAAAACCGAATTGTAAATTACTTTCGAAACATGTATAACTGAAAGGTTGGTTTTCTATTGGGTTTTATATAGTTTTGTGCTACATTTCTTTAGAACCGAAGAGGGAATGGTATCTTTATATGGTTTGCAGAACACCCCTCAAAAACTTCAAATAGCCTCACTTGCAGATCTTTATTAATGGAGATGCTGATCCAAATCGAGCAATGATACAACCTCCCAGTGCAGTGATTTCGTTAAAAACACTAACTCAACAGTTGGCCCACACTGTCTATAAGCATGGTGAGTGTTACCATTTTTTCTGTTGATTAATAAAGGCTACCACATGAATCACTTTTAAGCTACAAAAAGAGCAAGCAAAATATCAGCCAATATCATAGGACATATTAAGCTGTTTGTACCTGGAAAAATTCAAGTTTATTATGTTTCTTTATTAAATAAATAAGGATAACAAATATTTTCTGTGCCTTTTTTTTATTTTTGTTACTTTATCAACATTTGAGTTCTTATTTCGCTGACCTTTTCAGCACTTTTTTTGTGAAATGCATGGTGACTTTTGTTAAAAGACTAGTCAAAGACTAGTGAAAGACTAGTGAAAACCCCTCCAGTTCATCGTGCATTGTAAAGCTAACTACAAGACATTAAAATCTCCACCCAAAGTTGTTGAAATCAATGGAGAGTTTCTTCAGATGGATTTAAAGCAGACCCAAAACCTTCTCTTCAAAGACAGTAATTTATAGCATGAGCCCAGCATTGATATTTCAACCCATCCTGCCCAGCAGAATTAGCTGGAGGAGGAAAGGATTTACTGGAAATATAGGAATCCCACCTAGAGATTAAAATATATATATATAAATATCTGTACACATATTTACATATATACATGTATTTATATATAAACATGTATTTATATATATGTATATGTATACATACATACATATAGATGTGTGTATATATATTTAAATGAGATTTTCTTAATGGTAATATGGATGTCTTCCCAGTTTAATAATATCAGTTTGCATTTTGGTTACTATTATACTAGTCATATGTCAAAATTCATACTAAGCAGAGAGTAACACCTTTCCCTGTGCATGCATGTCTTAATCCTGGAAGGAGCTTCTGAAGGGACACAAACAACCCTTAGCTGTTATCAGCATTGAATATCAGCATTGAATATCAGCATTGAATATCAGCATTGAATAAGCCTTATCTTCACCTAGGCTAGCACCAATCTGGTTTCCCTGTTTCTGTGCTCTGATTTCTATTTCAGTGTGGCAGGTTCCTAATCATATTAAAACAGAACAAAATTGGACTGGTTTAAACTGCAGTGAAAACATCCATTCAGTCCATGGAATTAGTTAAATAAAATCAGTTTATAATCCTGTTTTACATTAACTTGGGTCAGTCTAACTTGTGTAAAAGACTTTATTTTTAAATAAGCATTTGCTAAAGTGTGTCATATAATAATATGACTTCTGAGTAATCGTGCGCATGAAACAAATCTGTCTGAAAATTTTTCAGCAAGATAGATACTTATACGTCAGGTTAGTTAAGGAAATTCCTGGTCAGAATTTGTGGTCAAAATTCCCTCAGGAATGAAGTTCAGGGTCATAATCCCTACTATGAAAATTTTTATGCCTAGATTTTTACCATAATTGATTTACCAGAATTAATTTGCCAGAATTATTCTTAATACGTGTGTTCCCATCACTGTGCTAGGGCCTGCTTTGGATTACAGGACTCTTCTTATTTTCATGTAGACCTGGAGAAAGTTTCTGAAAGCTTTCTGATTTTCCATTTTTTTTGGGATGAAAGTCTAAAAAAATTTTGCCAAAGGAATTTTTTGTTTTCCAGTCCTAGCAAGGAACTTGGAGGATTGGCTCCTCAGTAAATGAGAATTTTTATAGTTTCATTTCTTAAACTCAGTCAGATCATGTTGATTTTACAAAGGCACAGAACTATTAAATCAAGCCTGTGTGAAATCTATGAGATTGGAGTCAGGACCTATAATTTCCAGATTCATCTTGAGATTTTTCAGTTCTTCTTACTATTGATGCAAATTGTCTCACTAAACACCAGGAACAATTTGGAAGCAAGTCTGTGTTAAGGCAGACAGTTACAGCAGCGTAGGCAAACTCACATAGTTTGTGTAGAAAAAGCCACACATTAGCAGCTTAGACTTAAAGAGAAATTTCATAGTCATCAAAAGTTGCTCTAGGAAGAGGAAAAATGAAAAATAAATGCTTTGCAGCACAAAGCCTCCA